CTTTGACGCCTGGGACCTGAAATATGACAAAATACCACAACCCGGCGTAAAATAGGCAAAAAATACACGACTATGCCCCTGAAACGGATGAGAACTAGGGACGCAAATATGTGCAATTACATCGTTATCAGGGTGAATCTCGTGTTTATTTGCATTGACCTTGAATCAATTGCATGTGATTGAGTGTGTCCTATGATGATAACTGAGAGTTGCATTAGGTGTGTGAAAAAGTTTAGTTCTCATGTGTGCTTAAATGAATGGATGTCTTGACTTGGTTACTCTTTGAAGTTTGAACAAAATTTTCTTGCATAGAATTTTGTGAAATTGGAATAGACAATTGGGTGTCTAGGTAGTCATGTAAGTATTGTGTCAATCGTCTTTTATGTGTTATAGATCCCTCTCGCAATGGTGTGTAACATTCACCGTTATCACTAGTGAGTATGATGGAGGCATAGGATTAGTCCACGCCCAAAAAGTTTATTGTCCAGAAACATTTTATCCCCTAGTCAACCCCTTTGATCCGTGTGACTTTGGGGGTCGTTCTAATGTTAGGAGCTTTGTGCTTATTGAGCTTAATGTTGATTGATAGAACGACCCCCCCCCCCCAATCCTTTCTTCGTGTCAAAACGTAAGTCGTCCTTGTGTCTCGGAGATTTCCCTTTTTGAACTCCATTGAGGCTGTACATTGGAGGATTTTGCACGTTTCTTGCTAGGAAAGAAAAGGTAGTGTTGGAGGAAGTTCTTAATAGAGATCATTGTTCGTTAAGTGTTAAGTTGGCAAATGGTTAACTCTCTAGTACCCCCTTCCGGAAAAAAAATGGAAGACAAAAAAGAGGTAATAAAACGGTGTAAATAGTATTAGAGAGTTGCCACAAAAGTCTAAGTGTATGCTCTAGATAGGGTTTATTGGCACTCAAGCTATTGAAACACCTAATTGTTTGTAAACCTCCTTCACTACTATGATTGAGATGTGGATAGCAAGAATAGACCGATGAAGTGTGCTTGAATTTAGTTCGTGGTTGGTAGTGGTTTGGAAGAAGGGAAGAACGGTTTTGGCCGATGCTAGTGGTCGTTGAGAGTAGAGAAGGTTTGTAGTCTAAGCCATAGAACCTTTGGTTTTAGGGTGAAGATGTAGGACCTCATGCTATGTTTGCAACCACCCAAAAAGGGATTTTCCCCATGCCCGAGACAATTGCCAGTCATTTGAACCCGTCTCTAAGACCTTTGGACAAGCTAGTGATGACAACCATCTCGTGAACTCTAGCATTTAGAGTTTGCCGCCATGGTGGAGAGATGATAGGGCTGAGTCTTGATGGTTGAGCACATTGTTTTGCACCAAATTGTCCTGACCCCACTGGACGAGAGTGAGTGATTCATTCATGTTTTGCATGTTTATATCTTACCCTGGTGAGGACATATGTTGCCCCTTCGTTTGTGCCTTGGATTTGAAATCTATGCATGGTTAGTTGTGGTTGGTGAGTAGTTTTGTCGAGATTTGTGTTGTTTGAGAACAGGGTGAGAACTTTTCATTTTGCATGCTCTTGCTTCATTTTCAATGTCGTTTGTGGTGGATGCCGGTATTGCTTGCGTCGGTTCATGTGTTGATGCCCAATAGCCAATGAGATTTGCCGCTTTGAGCCCTTTGATATGTCCCCAAGTTATCTTGTCGGGTTGGAATATTACCTTGTTTGGAAATGGTTTGCTTGGGGACAAGCAAACGTCTAAGTGTGGGGGAGTGATTCGGGTTCAATTGTACAAATTTTATCCCCATTTTCCTTATACGTTTAATGCCTTAGTGCTCCGTGAGGTGTGATTTTACGCTAAGTTGCGCCTTGTCTTACTATGTTTTTTATCCTAGCATGTGGAACTGACCCCAGAATTGAAAGTGGGACGAAAACGAGCGGAAACAAGTCAAAGGGTGTAAACAGCCGAGGATCACCACCAATGATGATTTTTCACTGTCTTCGGATCGTGAAAAGGGCTCCTAGAACATGAAGCGTCAAGGGTCTAGGTGCATTTGCACACCTCGCGGGCTCCAAGTCAGTTCACGTTCGTAAGTCCGTGAACCAAAGCCCCAGACTGTGAACAGACTAAATGAGACGGTGCGTTTCAGCTCGACATCACGGTCTAGGATAAATGTTCATGGTCGTAAACTAGGACCGTGAACTGAACGCGATCTAGATATAAAAGGAGGGTTAAGCTGAAGGAAAGGAGAGAGGAGACCTTGAGTGAGAAAACCTTCTTCTTCAACACTCTAGAGAGAGAAAGTGATGAGCAAGAAGGAAGAAGATGCTAGGGTTTCACTCCAGGACAAGGATTTGGGAAATTCTTCTCCAAAGGATGATCTCTACTACACAAGGAGGGACTCAAGCATCTCCATGATGGTTTCTTTCCCTTCTCCTTGTGTTTTTCCCTCTTCTAGCATGTAGTAGTGTCCATTTTCACTTGGGTGTTTGTGAACCCTAACTTTTACCATGTGATTGATTGTATGGAATGATTGTTTATGTGTGGGCGTGTTTTAATATGAATTTGGAGGTATTTTCATGGAAGATTGTGTTGTGTGTTTGCCTTCAATCTATTTTGTCTTTCTAACCTATGTAGAGAGCAAACCCCCTTTTTGTGAAAGAGGCTTGTAAAGTTGGGTTATCTTAGGCAAATCTCGTCTCATATCAAGGTTAATTTAACGCAACCCTCCTAGTTCGTATTAGCACCTAGGTTGGTTGTGTTTGGCCGTCCAAACTCTAATTCGAGAGAGAAGGTTAGACAGTCCTTAGCCGATTAGGCCAAGAGAGCTACCTTGGTTGCTTAATCCGAATTCCTTGGCCTAGAGACCGAGAGAGTGATGTTCCATCACTAGTTGCACTTCCTTTACGGTTCAAAACAACCTCCACCACACCACACGTTTTCATTCATTCCGACAAGTCATGGTAGCTAGTTAGGAGGAGCTACACTCGGGTGAATCCTTCTCATTTAGAGTCAAAACCAATTACATTTACAATCATTTTAAGTGTAGATTGTAGTTTTCAACAAACAACTCATCGCTAGATAATGTTTCAAACAGTCGAAGTAGGGGTACATGGACCGGCCCGGGTTGATATTTATACATATTTGCCATGTATTACACCCAATTAAGGTTTATACTTGAGCCCTAACTGAGAGTTTTATTGTGATATTCGCTAGATTGGGAACCGCGCATCAAGATGTCATTCAATTCAATGGCTCTCTACGTACTTACGCTCAAAAGTGGTAAAGCTGCTCGTAGCTAGCAATTGGGGACAAAATCCTTACTCTCTTGTTTTCTTATTTATAAGGCCGCCGGCCGGTCATTTCAGGATCGAGTTTTATCATAACCATTTGTAAAAAGGGGAAGTATATATCAGTTACAAGATCCTGATTGCATTATTCAATTACTATTTACTAGCTAGTTGCTTGACAGTCCGACTATATTAGCTAGGAGCGCCGATCGAACGGGTAAGTCTCAAACCTCATGTAACAGCCGTCGCCCCATGCCTGACCTCCTACGCGGTGTTGGCACTGAGTGTTCTGGAGGGCATCCCTGGCCTCGTAAAGGCACCCAGTCTTGCCCTGATCTGCCCACTGGAAACCGTACACCGACGATCCGTCGACGCAATCCTGCTCTTTGTACCAACGCCCAACTCTCACCGGAGTCGCCTCCCCGATCAACACCCGCATCAGAAAATAAACACAAAGACTCCGCGGATCGCCGTCTTCGAACGATTCGCCGTTGCAAAGATAGCTTACTTCGGCCGACGCCGCTTGAACCCCGAGCGACACGACGAACAAAACCGCCACCACCATGATCACCTTATTTCCTTTATGATTCCCTGTAGATGATGATGAACTTTTTTCTGGTGATTAGTTTGCTGGGTACATACCAATAATAATATTGATGCTTAGTATCTCTCTACTAATTAACCATATGTATTTTTCAGGTTTCAATTATAGTTCACCAATTCGGCAAAACATTCCTGATCCATGCATATATCGCCACAGTTACATAGTTGTTCGCCTATTAGTTATAAGTCCTATGTTGTGCTTTGATGATTCAGATTCTCGACTACAAGAAAAGTATATCTGGATGTGTCGTCAAGAACGACAATACATCTACTCGTCTATTGGGCATGTTGATTGAGGAAAAGCACGTACCCCATCCCAAGTCATTAGACTAACTCCAACCTAAAAGGTTATATTTAGCCTCTCAAGCACTCAAATGTGCATTTTTACCTTCTAAAATCACTTTTTTGCTCCAACCCTAAACCTTCTAAATTTGCCTTCTCAACTCATAACCAACCAATCAAAAATTAAAAAAGTAAAAAAAAAAAAGATGCTTTAAAGTGGAGGGCCCCAGCGTGTGGCCTTGGGTTCCATGGTTGGTCCCCCCACCTTCTCCTTGCATTTTTCCATATGAGCTTCTATCTATCCAGTATCCACCCCCAAGCCCACTTCTCCAAATTTGCAAACCAAATAATTGGTGGGTTGGAGATGAAAAAAGCCAAAAACCTCCCTTTCTCCAAATTTGCATGCTTGGGTTGGAGACAGTCTTAGGAAGGGGAATGGGATGTTTGGGGCGAGTACTACTATATTCTTTTTTTTTTAATTTTCATCAAATTTGTAAGCCAAGCTAACACACTGTATCTGGGAATACAATACTTCCCCCATACCAGCTTACTCCAGCATTTGTCCTACTCAGGCTTCATAACGGGTCGATTGTTTTTTACTTAAAAGGCATTGTACCGTACAGTGTTGGAGCCAAAAAATTGCTCAAGAGATGTCGGTTTTTAAACCATAAGAATATCAACTCCATAATAGAAATATAAATTCTAAACAAATTAAAAAAATTCATTAACATAATACTTAAGATTCATAAAATTACATAATAATAGTTCGATGCACACTGTTTACAAACGAACCGCGACATGATTTCACATTCTAAAAGCATTGTAGAACAAATTCATTGTCGACACTAGCACACTAATCTTGTTTAGTATATGTCACCGCAATTCTCTCTCATTCCGAACCTCTCGCCAGCCACAACTCTCTCACGGCCTCCTGCATCGGTAGCTCTCTCCAGGCCTCTCACCGCAGCAGCTCTCATTTGTCCTTCCATCGCCACGGCTTTCCCATCCTCCTGCTGCAGTTGTAGACCTCTATCATTATTCTGTCGTCGGAAGCGAAACTCATCCTGAAAGATATGTAACTTTGAAATTCGAATCCACCAGTGGCAGGAAACCGAAATCAATCGTCAGCACCTATTGAAGTATTGATCGCACTACAAGAGAATTGTCATTTAACTTTGGTTGAGTCGTGTCGGTCCAATGAACCGACACAAATTTTAAGATTTGAGTCAGTGACCGAACCGACGCAATTTTAGTACACAAAGTACAGACTCGTTTACTGTTGTACTTGTCTCAATAATCCATTTTTGAAAATTCAAAAGTACTAGGATCATCATTTTATCATCAAATTTATGCAAGGGGTGAATGATATGTATCAGTCTGCTAGAATTCGGGTCCTAATGAATGCTCATATGCCAAGCAAAGAGTCACTTTTGTAAGCAAATGGTTAACCTAGAACGACAGATGAAAGGCATGAATGTTGTAAAACGAAGAGTTAATTTGTTGGCTTTGCTAGCAAGTCGATAACAACAAAACAAGCAAGGGAAATTTGGCAGGAAACTTAGAGACTACACACACTCAAGAAAAGAAATGGTGTAGATCATGCAAGAAGGAGTGTCACATCATTCTTGAATGTTTCAAACTCAAGAACAATAAGAAACAAGAAGGATACAACTCCTTTGTTGGTTCTGTTGACAGGAATTTGAGCACTACTAGTTCTGTTGATAGTAATTAGGGATGAGGAATTCGTTGAAGAAAAGAGTGAAAGGATAATCTAACCAAGAAACGAATAAAATTGCATTGTTGTTTCCCTTTTAGCCAGCAAAATTTAACAAAACGCGTCCCAATTTGTTAGTGTGTGCAACTATTTGTTCTAAAGCAGACCACACCTGACTAAATCGATATTGAGACAAGACCAAACTAACCAAATATAATGTGATTTGAAATCCTATGAATTTTATAAAACTTAAGGAAAATGGGTCTGATTGATTTTTGGACCAGACCACATGAACTGAATGCAATATTGGTCTGGTACGTGGTCCAAACTTTTTTTTACTTTTGGGACGTGGTTCTTAAGGTTTGGTCTGGTCCGGTTCAAACCGAATCATTGCACCTCTATAATATTTGTCATAATACCTTGATATCAAAAGTATAAAAATGGTTTAAAAGCTAGCTTATAAGGATTTTACTAGGGTTGAGGGCTTTTACTTTGATTTTTAATACAAAAAACTTTTTTTAACAAAAACTACAATATTTGGGAGGTCCCAAGTGTAACATCCCGAACATTTTCCTGACGAAGATATTGTCCGCTTTGGGCCTCGACCGTCACGGTTTTCAACTCGGGGTGCAATTCAAGGTGACTTCCCATAAGGTGGTCACCCATCCTTGTTGTACTCCACATTGAGCACGTTTAACTTTGGAGTTCTCACGAGAACTCCTCCATTTCACCCCAAAACGCGTCTTGTCCCTTATGGCCATTTTCGTACTTATGAACCATGGATCTCTCCTGTGCTTTGTCGATGTGGGATTTGCCTAAGGTGTTACATACACCCCCCCCCCCCTTGGGACTCAACGCTCTCGTTGAGGTTTGCCCCACCATCGTTTAAGAGGAACGCGGAGAGACTTTGATACCACTTGTAACATCCCGAACTTTTTCTTGACGAAGATATTGTTCGCTTTGGGCCTCGACCCTCACGGTTTTCAACTTGGGGTGCAATTCAAGGTGACTTCCCATAAGGTCACCCATCCTTGTTGTACTCCACACTGATCACGTTTAATTTCGGAGTTGTCACGAGAACTCCTCCATTTCACCTCAAAACGCGTCTTGTCAGTTAATGTCGGTTTCCTACTTATAAACCATGGATCTCTCCGGTGCTTTGTCGATGTGGGATTTGCCTAAGGTGTTACACAAAGCATAAAAGTGTAGGGCCTATTTACTTGTATTTTCATTTCCCATGATTATGGCAACAGAAACCAAATCTGATGGAAATGAAGTTATCGTTTCTTGAGAAATAAAACTCGAAAACTGAATGAAACATGATGCGGGTTAATTCTTGGAGCCGAGGCCAAAATTGAAGACAAGGCGGGAGCGGGTTTTGTGGGAGGAATTTCCCCGACGGGGGAAATGAAGGGGAAGACCGGGGAAAGCGGGCAGGGAAAAAGCCCATCCTGAGACCCAAAATACTCGACCAGGTATTTTGGCCGAGTTTCGGGTCTGATCGACGGGATTTGGAGTTTTGAGTTGTTTTAATTATTTTTATTGCCCAAACCTATGTAAAGGTTGGAACTCGGGTTTTAGAGTTAGTTTTTTAGCAGAATATTGAATTTTATCTTGTTTTGAGCTTGAGGCTTGAACTTTCTCTGTATCAATCAAGTTTTCCCCTTAATTGTGGTCGATATTCTATCTTTTATATTGATTGAGCCTTCTCCCATCTTATGTAGAGATTTCACTTTCAATTCCATCATATCCCAAACAAACAAAAACCCCTAAACAGTCATTCTATTGTTCGTTCTTGGAGCTGCGTACTTTGATAACTACGGGTACATGTTATGTGCTCGTATCAGGTGGTATTAGAGTCTGGTTCAACACAGTGGGGGGATCAAAAGCAAGAGGACCTGTGGCTTGTCGAACGAGGTCCAAATATACGATTGCAGAACGCAGAGAAGAGGAAGAATCACTCTCTGAAGAAGAAAGCCCAATCGAAGAACAAGCCATGGGAGAGCAGAGTCAGGATCTTTGCCGAATCCATGAAGCTGCTTGCCACGCAGATGGCGCAGATGGGAGTTTTGCTTCAGGCCCAGCAGGATGCTACCAAAGGTCAACTGGATACCCTAATCACCAGGTTGGGAACTCAATCAAGGGGTAATCTACCTCAACCAGAGAACCTATCATATGTTGCAGCTCATACTGGAGCCGCGAACTGGGAGGGTCCTCGAGTAGATCGAGTGTACCAAGTTTTTCCTGAGACCCCAGATTGGCAGGTGCAGAGGCTCCAATAGGCAGAGCAACGTCGTCAGGTAACCCCGTAGTACAGACCTCCATTTAATGAGTATGAGAATGATTATAACGAGTATGGATGAAGATCACCAGCAACAGGGGTTATGGCGTTGAATCGATTCGAGGGATTAAGCTCTTAATCTCATCGTTACAAGGCACTATTAGTGCATTAGCTTACCTTGACTGAGAGAAGAAGATGGTTATGTTTTTCCAGTGCAATCCTTGCCTAGAGCATCAAAAAGTTATTGTAGCCACATATTAGTTTACAGATTATGCAGCAGTATGGTGGGAAAAGATTCAACAATGACCAAGAAGGAATCTGCAGCCTAAAGTTTCTACTTGGGCAGAACGCCGTGGCTTGATGAGTGATCGGTTTGTGCCTCCGTTATATTAGATAGATCTCCATGATGCCTTGTAGGGAATGCGACAAGGAGGACAAGGAACTAGAAATTCTAATGATGAGAGCATATGTGAGGGAGGACAAGGAAGCAACGATAGCTCATTTTCTGCATGGGCTTAACAGGGAAATCAAGAATGAAGTAGAGCTATTGCTGAGTACTTCAAGGAGCTAGAAATGCTAATGATGAGAGCAGATGTGAGGGAGGACAAGGAAGCAACGATAGCTCGTTTTCTGCATGGGCTTAACATAGAAATCAAGAATGAAGTAGAGCTTCGTCAGTTTGTGGAGTTGGAGGAAGCGGTGCATTTGGCCATGAAGGTAGAGAGGCAGGTGAAGCTGAACTCGGGAAGAAGGTACACACCTTGACCCAAACCTGTTGCAGAGAAGATTCCTGAGGCTAACCTGAATCAACCTAAGCAAGAAGGTAACAAGCCAGCTGCCATGAACATAGCCCCAATTATTCAAGCCAGAAATGGCTAAATTGCATGTTTGGTTACTAGAATTACATAAAAATTTCACATTTGCCACTAAAATTACTTTATTCCATCCGTAGTCACTTAAATTAGGTACACAATCCAACTTTGGTCACTCTCCGTTAACCTCTGTCAGAATCCGTTAGTGCCGTCAGTTAATTGCTGATGTGGCTAACAGAGGTGCTGAGTCACCCAATTTTTTTTTAAAAAAAATCAATATAGACATGCCACATCATTAACCCTCTATGTCATAAAACTCAACCGAAACCCAATCACCCCCTTACCCGACCCCTGTTATTGACTCGTTACCCCTCTCCTTCCCCCAACCCCTTCTCATTCACACAACTCTACCCCCACACAACATACCCATCTAAAGCTACTTTCGCACCAAGAATAATCTTAATCACATCATTCTTCTTAATCAACCGACCGTGGATTTCTTCCTCGCCGAACACATGATGGAGTTTGTCTTGAAGAAATCAGTGCTTTCGCCAGAACCTCAAGATACTTCCCCTATTATCGAGATGGTGTTCTTCCCCAACCCCTTCTCTGACGCCTCCAAAATCCCAGCCTCCATCCTATATTGGGTTGTCGGCGTGAGGTTCGTGGCCAACCAAGAAACCGATGAGGTCTCCACAAAGATGAGCCTCGTTGCATCTACAGGAGAACGCACAGGAGGTATCTGATGACTACTGGGTGGAGCACGTTTGTGAACCAGATTCAATTGGTCGGCAGAGAATCAATTGGTTGCCCGATAAACTGGAGCACATTTATTGATGGATTGGTGCGATGAACTGGAGATCTGGAAAAGGGATTGGCATATAAATTAGAGAAGGCGCACTCTCTTCGCCACCGCTGTTGGGTTTACCTCCAGTGGCGGTGTTGGAGCTAGGTGGTGGCAGCGGCAATTGAGGGAGAGCGGCTCGACGAAAAGAATGGTAGTTTCGAAAACGGGGATAAAAGGGAGTGATGGGGACGAAGGGGAGTTATTTGGGGCCTCTTTCCGGGAGGGGGAAAGTGGACTGGTTGGCGGCGATAAGGTCGATTTCTTCGTCGTACTACTGTTGGGGTGGAGTGGTTGAGGTCGAGCGGCAGAGAAGGGGTTGGGGAAGAAGAGAGGGGAAGGAGAGGAGGAACCGGTCAATAATAGGGGTCAAGTCAGGGGTTGTTTGGGTTTGGGTTTAGTTTTATGACATGAAGGGGTTAATGACGTGCCATTTTTTTTTTTTTTGTTAAAATTGGGTGACTCAGCACCTCTGTTAGCCACGTCAGCAGTTAACTGACGGCACTAACGGAGTCTGACGGAGGTTAACGATAGTGACCAAAGTTGGACTGTGTACCTAATTTAAGTGACTACGGATGGAATAAAGTAATTTTAGTGAAAAACGTGAAATTATTATGTAATTCTAGTGACCAAACTTGCAATTTAGCCAGCCAAGAATGAAGGCTCAACTGGAAGCATCCAATGCTTCAAGTGCTTTGACCGAGGTCACAAGGCTAACTAGTGCCCCAACAAGAAGACTCTTTTCTTGCGAGATGGTGAGAACTTTTCTGAGGAGTATGAAGAGAAGCCCATGGGGAATGGATTCGTTCTAATGCTAATTCTGAAGATGATGATGTGGATGAGCACATCAAAGCGGAGAAACCGCCAACAGGTAATAAGCTTCTTGAAGTGAACCGCAGAGACAGAGGGATAATATTTTCCACTCTCGTTGCCTGGTCGACGGAAAGGTGTTATCTGTGGTGACCGATGGTGGTAGTTGCACCAATGTGATTAGTCTGGATGCAGTCAAGAAGTTGGGTTTGAGTACCCTCAAGCATCCTCAACGACACTCTGCATTGGCTGAACGACTATGGGAACATCAAAGTCAATAAGAAGGCCAAGGTTTGTTTTCAAATCGGTGATTATGCGATGAGATTTGGTGTGATGTTGCTCTAATGCAAGCTGCTCATTTCCTATTGGATCGTCCATGGCAATATGATCGCGAGGTCATTCAAGAAGGGAGTTCAGAAGTTTCTGCTAAATCCATTGTCACCAGCTGAAGTCCGCGAAGATCAACAACAGCTGGCCATGAACTGGGCCAAAGAGAAAGGAAGTGCAAGTAGCTCAAAGTCGGGGGATGGATCTGGAACACATATGATGGTTCGAAAGAACATGTTGACTGCAATGAGGAGAATTCTGTGTGGAAGTGTGGTTGATGTTGTTTCTTGCAGGAAAACACAAGCTTTGATGGCAAAGCTTCTCTAACGGGGAGGGACTGATGCGGGTCAATTCCTAGAGCCGAGGCCCAAATTGGAAATAAAGGTGAGAAGCGGGTTTTGTGGTGGGAATTTCCCCGGTCGGGGAATTGAAGGGGAAGACCGGGGAAAGCAAGCAGGGAAAAAGTCTGGCCTGAGAGCCAAAATACCCGACCGGGTATTTTGGCTGGGTTTCTAATCTGACCGACGGGATTTGGAGTTTTGAGTTGTTTTAATTATTTTAATTGCCCAGACCTATATAAAGGTTAGAACTCGGGTTTTAGAGTTAGTTTTTTAGCAGAATATTGACTTTTATCTTGGTTGTGAGCTTGAGGCTTAAACTTTTCTCTGTATCAATAAAGTGTTCCCCTTGATTGTGGTTGAGATTCTATCTTTTAGATTGATTGAGCCTTTTCCCATCTTGTGTTGAGATTGCACTTTCAATTTCATCATATCCAAACAAACATAAACCCCTAAACAGTTATTATATTGTTCGTTTTTTGCGTTGCGTACTTTGATAACTACGGGTACAAGTTTTGTGCTCGTATCAAAACCTGTTTAGCTTAAACTTTTATTCAATTCTGACACTAAAACCTAAATGATGATAGATCGTTTTGAAATCAAAGTAAGAAAATTTTGAATGATCTAATTAATAAAAATGATAAAGTAAAAGTATTAAATATTTAAAGAATAAGGAAATTTTTTTTTATTAGAGAAAAAATCATATAGATATTAATTTTATAGTGACTTCTTGAAATCAAATCTAACATGTTGTTTAATATAAACAAATTCAATAAGTTTGTAGGTATTCATTTTTAAATGAAATGTTTTTTGTTTGAATACAAATAAATTAATTATCAATGTTAAATATTGAATAAGCTGAGTAATGATAACATTGTTATTTTTCGAGCTTCATGTTGTTGGCATACACTTTCCATTATTAATTTTTAATACACATTATCTTCTAGGTGATTTCGTTATTAATTAACGTTACATTTTTTTAATATTTTCATTTAGTTTAGTTATAAATGTGTTAGAAACATAACTTGCGAGTAATTCATTTGTGGATATTTGAATTAACATTCCAAAATAGTAATTCATTTTCAAATGAATTTCACATAGTAATATATTTGTAATTGAAATGAATTATTTAATTTGGTTTCAAATAGTTTACAAAGTGAAAATTATATTATATATAATAAAAAGAGAAAACTTAGGTAAAAGAGAAAAACTAAAGGACTAAAATAAAAGTATTAAAAAATAATTGTGAACAATGTTACTCAAATCGACGAGAAGAAAATTGTTTTATTTAAAAATATAAGAAAACATATGTTGAAAACTGGTGAAAACAATATATTGTCGTTTCCGAAAACAGTAGGAAACTACCATTTTCTGTTTCTAGTGTTGGAACCGAACAAAAAACAAAATGCTAGCTAGGTTTTAAAGCTACCTTTTGGCTGCATTGGTTATAACATATTTGAATGTATTTTATGCGGATACTTAAATTACCAAATCTGTACCAAACCTATCACCCTTTTTGTCGGGTTCTGGAAAACCTCGACTAAAAATAATATCGGTCGAATTTTCTTCGACTAAATCGATTTGAATTCGGTTGGATAGCCATAATAATGAATTATTTCACTTTTCCTACACATAACGAGTAAGTCTACTAATAGTAAACCCAAAACAGAAAAATGAGCGAATGATCCAGTTTATGGCTTTCGACTTTGAAATCGTAGGTTCTAAACTCAACTGTGTCGATCGATCAACTTTCCATCTTTTGCAATATCCCACCGCGGAATCATTTGGATCTGCAATATCCTAGTTTCAGTAGAAAAGTTCATTGGAAGAGCACGTGCCAGCTTTTGCTCAAGTGAACTTGGAAACCAGAGTTTAAGCTATGGAGGAGTAGTAGTAGCAACACATTCTCGGCCTACATTGACAGAAGGAATGAAAGGAAGCAAGTAAAAGAACCCACAGTAGCAAAACACTGACGCAGCTAGCTAAGCTTCATACAGTTTCTACCGTTCACAAAAAACCTTAACAACCGTAATGCTGCTAATTAATATACCTCATCAACAATTCCTCAGAAGAACAAACAACAGAGACCACAGAAGGGGTTAAAAGAAAACAGAACATAGAACCTTAACTCGCAGCTGCATTGCAGGTGTTAACACCATCTTTGCAGTCATTCGTGAGATCATTGAATGTCTCAATCTGCTTCTTCCCTCTCAAGAACACCTCCGTGTCGACGGATACCCTCATGTAGCCGTCAAATTCCACCGGAATACCTCGGTTGAGCTTCGTGGTCTCGGAGTACCACTCACTTTTCTCATCCCAAAAGCCTTGGTACTCGTCAAGGAAATGAGTTGAGTACTTGTCTTTTAACGGATCGAAGAAGGAAGTTTCCGGTTCGTTTGTAGCAATGTAGACTTGCCTTCCTTCCTCGATTTTATCAGCCAAGGTCGACAGAAGGGCGTCAGGGGAAGTGTCTGCATCGAGATTCGGCCATAGGTTTTTGTTCCTCGCTTTCTCGCCCCGTTCAATGTGGACCGAGTCATAATCCCAGTTCAATTTGGAGGAGATTGCTGATACTATGTCCATTAACCTTCTCGATTTCCATATCAAGTGCCATGGACGTTGGATGACCGACTCAGTTTCTCCCTCGCAGACTCTGTACCAGTAGTTGTCAGGTTCCACTGATCCAAACTTCCTCATGATGACAGAATCTGATACCTCTGCAAGTTTCATGGGTGTGACTTTATGATCCTCAACAAGATGGAGTCCTAACCGGTCCTTCTTGTGCCACTTCCCCCAGTCCTCCCAAAACTGACCCTGGTCGATAACTGATGAAGCTTCAGTTAGGTGCTCGAAATCGAAGTAGAATCTGAAATCCTTCCCTTCCTCATCCTGATTCGAGGAAGTGTAGATGGAGTTCAAACATATGGTTAGATCCATAACGAGCGTTCGATTCAAGTACTGAGCTTCACCCAATGCACACAAGAAGCTCCATAAGTAATGATTCATGTTCTTGCATCTATCACCCCCACCATTGTAGATCAAGTACTTACCCTGACTGAATGCTCTCTCGGATTCAACTACTGGAAGTGCATCGTTCACAGTTTCACCCACCACAGGCAACAATGTCGAGTCTTCTTTTGCTGATTTCTTCTCGAAACCGGCTTTCTTAAGCTTGTTCTTCCTCTTCCTAGCATTGACACCAGTATGGTAATCCCCAATCCCCGCCACGCTATAGGTGCAATTCTCAGATCTGGCAATGGTGAATCTCCTGTAATCTTTATAAAACGAAGCAGACTTCCCTTCCTTGGGCCTGAACCTCCACGCCATGTCACAGGTGGTATCATTGGAGCCACGAACCGGTTTCCCAAACCTATAGAAATGTATATCTTTAAACTGCTCTATTGCCTTCTTCATTAGCAAATGGAAGACCTCGGGATCCCTGCAGTCTACAGGGCCATCACAACTCTCAGTCTTTTCTTCCACCTCACCATCACCACCATTACCATTGCCAACACCTTCCTCAACAATCGTCGGGAGCACAACATCGCTGATGTTTATAAACGTATTGAAAGCTGTCTGGTTAGGCAGCATGAAGTCCTCTCCTGTCTTTACAACTGAGGAATCAGGCTTAAACGTGGCATTGGATTGAGAAGTGAGGAAATTTGACATCTTTGTTGATGGGTGAAACAGCGGGTCCTCTGGTTCATACGTTGCAGCAATTATAGTGAAGATCAAGACCATCAATACGAAGAAAGTGAAGCAGACATTGCCAATCAAAGCTAACGCATTCTGCCCTAGATTCTCTGGCCTGAAACCTCCAGCCCTCGACAATCCATTGCGACCCATCATATTGTCCAGCCCCTAATTCGCCCTTTCTCTCCAATCCCCACAAAAAAGCTCCCAGATTTCAGCTGAAACAGAGAAATGAGAAGCAAACCCAGATGACAATTTGCAGAGACAGAGAACCAAATCAAATCAGGGTTTTTTTCCAAGATCCGGGTTCTATCGAGCTAGCTGCTAGCAGTCAATTAAGTGAACCCAAGATCCAAATTAAGAAGCTAATTCAGCTGAAATTGAGAGATTATGTCTGAGATCCAATTACCTGCTTCCTTCAACGACTCGGCGAAAATAGCTCATTATTCAACATCTCTCTCCATTGGCTCTGCTCTCTAGTTTCTTCTTTCCTTTGCTCGTCTGTCTCTTCCCGTTTAGCAAGAAGCGGAGTGAGATTAGAGTGACAGAGAGCGACCGCGATCTAATTTGATGATGATGATGATGAAGCTTGAAGTCAACACGTCATATGAACTGACCGCCGTAGATTGTGATCTAGTATGGGAATGAGTACGGTGCAGTGAGCCTTGCGATGCTGCCACGTCGGTAAAAGGCAACGACGCGGCTGGCTGGGAATGGCTCTGAGCCTCTGATGGTGTTATACAAGTGGCCGATTCTTAAAAAGACTGGTCATGGAAAATGGAATCGGAGCACACCGACAATGGCAAAGATGCAAATAAAGGGATAAAACAAAGCGTGACGGGAGAGGACATTTTATTTTGCTTTTGGTTTGAAAGAAATTCTATTTCTTGGATTACTTAAATACCGTAGAGCGTTCTATAATGACTTCTTGTTGGATGATACTAAAAGTAAGATAGTCTAACGGTAAAGCTGTCGCAATAGTTAAGGTTTGAGAGTTGCATATTCTATGTTCGAATCTAAATGAGGCTCGTTGGTGTTCCTGGAGGTACAAGGCTCTTGCGGGCAAAGTCTCGTTGACGTCGAATTTGATTGCAGGTGGCTCCCAAATTTAGTAGGACCTGGCATCATAAACTGGCACGTGGGGCTAAGGTTCCTTGAAAATAAAATAAAAATGTTGGATGATAAACTATTAAGCTCTCTCACATTATTTATTTATTAAGCAAACTACACTTGTGTAGTTAAAATTTTGACGGTTTGACTAAATATAACTACTTTTAGTGATATACCAAAAATAACCACTTCCTTCCAATTCTTTAACCGTTTGACTAAATATAGCTCCTAGGGCGAAGCCCCGTCGGCGTCGAATATAATTGCAGGTGACCCTTAAATTTAGTAGGACACGCTATCACAAAGTGGCACGTGGGGCCTGGGTAATCAAAAAAAAATGTTGGATGATAAACTATTAAGCTCTCTCACATTATTTTTTAGGCAACATACACTTGTGCAGTCAAAATTTTGACGGTTTGACTAAATATAGGTTATATAGCTACTTTTGATGAATACCAAAAATAGTCACTTCCATCCAATTCTTTAACCGTACGAAACGTGCTAACTAGACTAACGGATCGTCCGATCTGACAATTTTTGTCTAATACGTATTTCCCACGTGGATTTATTTTAAAAAATAAAAAGACAATCTACCATTTTCCTTGTTCCCACCTACCCACCCACAAACTCTTCATCTCCCTCTGCCGCTTCAAGAAACCCACTCCACCCTGCAGCAAATCCGTCATCCGCCCTTCCTCCACAATCTTCATCACCTCCTCCACCACACCCACCCAAGTACCTTCCTTTCACAAACACCCTCGACAGCACAGTCGCTGTCGTCACGGAATCTTCTACTCCTTCTTCTTTTCATGGAGACATCCCTCTCGCAGATTTGCTATCAGCTCCTCCTTCCGCTGTCCCAAACACGATCAAAAACCCAGATTCAATCAGTCGATTGAACCCTCTCCCCTTGTGAGCCAGAAACCCCCAATACCGTCTGCACCCTCGCCCTCACCATTTCCATTAACCTCCCGCCAAACTCCTCGTCCAGCTCCTCCTTATCCACTGCCTTCGCCAGCGAAAGCTTCGAGTCAAAGTGGCCAACGCCGCCTTCGATTACCAGTGAGAAACCGATATGTCCATATGCCACCGCAAGTTCCGTCAGATTCTTCCACATGCTCGAATCGCTGGGAATTTGGTCGAGGTGGTCTGAATGACTGAATCAAATAAAAAATGAAGGAGTTTTGGTAAACAGCGGGGTAACAAGAATGGAGGACGGTGAGGGGAAGTAGGGCAATTCTTTTGGATTTTTTGTTTATAAATGATATTTTTGTTAATAAAGTAATTAAATATTTATATATAAAATCTGACGTATCACGTATATGTGGCAAGTGTTGGTGAGTTGTTGATGATGTGTTCGGTGAGTTAGCAGCCAGGTAAGCGTTCCGCTAATTTGACTAACGGTGTCACTGACGCCGTTAAAATATGTAACGAAAATTGCTATATTTTTCATTAAATGTTCAAAATTCAAGCTATTTTTGACATTTCGCCAAAAGTGACTATTATTGTCACACACATGAAAGTTTTGGCTACACAGATGAATTTTGCCTATCACTCGAAAATAAAACAAACGGCTAAATTACAAGGTTGGTCATTCAAATTACACATATCTTTCACGTTTGCCACCTGAATTACTTTTCTTTCTTATTCGCCACTAACTTTACGAATCGTTTCACCGTTGGCACTGGTCGTCCAATTCCGTTAAAATCATCTTACGTGGCAGTCAACTTAGTTCTTTGACCGTTAGTTTGATGACGTGGCAATTTAAAAAATATTAAATTAAAAATTATTTTATCTTCCTTTCACTTCTTCCTCCCATCGACACTTCTCCTTGAATCCATAGAGATGTCATTCTTATTCTAATGTGATTCAATGCCCCAGTGGCGGAATTTCGGTCAATTTCTAATTGAAGTACACTTTGTCAGTAATGTGTAATTCGAGTGACCAAATGTGTAATTTAACTTAAAACAAACAGATAAATTTTGCCTATTTTTTTAATGTTTTTAATGCAATGTTAATGGTACACTTACACTACGGTTTTTTTATTTTGAAAATTCATCGATAATGGAGGCTTCATTCATACCAATAGCATACTCTCTTTCATAGAAAATAGTTAAGCAATCAGTAAGAAATTCATCGCTCATTTTGTTGTGCAAATAAGTTTTTGCATGTTTCATTGCTAAAAATGTTCTCTTCGTAGTAGCCATTGAAACGTGCAAGGCTAACACTAGACGAATCAACCGACGAATAAATTTCTATTGCGTGTACATCCTTGTTTCCACTCGCTTCTCTAGTAATTTTTCAAGGGAAGAAACTTCATATTCCTGATTATGAACCACATAAGTGACATAATATCATAGCTCGTTCTTCAAAATCTCGAGAATAAATTTTAAGCAAGTTTGTAAATATTTTCTTCATCAAAAGACCGAAAAGAACTTTTAGGATCTAATGCACCACTCCACTGAAGCAATTTAAATGACGACTTTCTTCATCAAAAGACTAAAAAGAAAACCTGACGGACTGGAGAAGAAATTTGTTTAGGCTCCGTTCGTCTCCTCGTTCTTATTTTGTTTTAAGAGATTTGGGGGAATTTTTTTGAGTGCTAAGAGGGAAGGGTAAACTTTAGTTTAGAGATTTTTTATTTCAATGAAAATCAATATTTTTAGCTTTCTTGTTTTGAAAATTTAGGTTACTTTTTTTATTATTATTATTATTATACAAATAAAAATCATTGAGGCTAGAACTTCTAGACTAAATTTAGAGTACTAGTTTGGATATGTTCATCTAGACCATTTTCTAATTACACAAAATCTTATTATCAAATAAAACTTGACCAACTTTGAATAACATTAGGCCAAACTTTCATATGTGTGACTGTTTGAATAACATTAGGCCAAACATTAGGCCAAACTTTCATATCGGTTGTCAATAGCAATATACAAACAAGGTATACTATACACTGATAGGAAGATAATCAAACACCAAAGCGCAAACTAGGCTACCCTCATCCCCAAGCTTAGATAGCAAATGGTACTGCCTAGAGTAATAGTCTGCTTCGGCTTTCACCTAAAATTTAACCACATAACAATTACTTAAGAAAAGTGGGAAATCCACATATTTGACAAAGATACGTGGATTAAAAAGGAAAAAAAAAAAAAACAAGTTTGCTTACCAACTTTAACAGCTCGTTTCTCTTACGAACAATAGTTTGGTCTAGTGGTACTATCGTTGACCTTGAACATGAAGGTACCATGTTTGAATCTTTTAAGCAGCACCTAAGAGCATACCTATGTCACTCTTATAAAAATTAAATTCAGAATGTTCAATCTACCATCTCGTCTAGCATTAAATTTTGATACATTTCTCTTGATAGAAGTAAGGTTATCCCAATTCTCTTTATTTGGATGGTATTGGGCATCCTCCGGTAGTTTTAAGAACTCAGTATTCTAAAGGTTCATTACAAATTAAGATACACATTAATAAAGATCTAAGATGTACAAGTTTCTCCATACACACACAATATAAAACTTCATAAACATATGCTAATAATCAATCGAATCCTCGTGATGGTCCTGAATATGGTAAATAAGACATCGTCAGTGCATACTAACTCCATGTAAGACACAATCAGCGTATACTTTCCCCATGTAACGAGGATGAGTTCAGATCACTAGAAATGTAATACAGTTTTGAAAAAATAGTGTCATGTGAATTTTGGTGTATTTATATTAATTCCCACTGAAATATACATCCATATAAATATATATTAGTTCCCACTGAAATATACATCCATATAAATATACATTAATTCCCACTGAAATACATATTGGCTTTTAGCTAGTTGATCAATCTTATATGACATTGCAAATATATTACTTACATAAAAGTTCATATAAACAGAGACCACCATCCAGTTTAGTCCTAGACTTTGACATCTTGCCTTTGATTAAAGCAAGCTTGTCCTATTCTCGTTCTTTGGATGGTACTAGGCATCCGAAGAAGTTTTAAGAACTCTATATGCTAAAAGTTTGTTACAAATTAAGATACACATTAATCAATATCATAAATGCACAAATTTTTACAGACACACACAATATAATACTTCAAAAATTGATCGAAATTCAAATTTATTTTCGGTGAAACATCAGAACATACAAACATAAGTGATCAAAATATTTTATTAGGAGAGCTAGCTTATACCTAATCTTCGTGTCTGTAATATTTATTTTATCGTCACAAAATTAGAAATACATGTGATAGCATTTAAATAATCGATTTGTCATTGACTATAACTGTATTTTTATTTGGAAAATAGCACAAGACATACTAATAATTAATCTATTGAAGTTAGAGACGAAATACATTCTCATCTTCCTAATTTATATGCATTACAATTATTTGTATGCATTTTAAATCTATAATATAGACAATTTAAAAAAAAATTATGTATTCTAAATAATTTATGATTAGTATATCTAAAGAACTTATAAAAACTATAATGATATATCTAATCATCATGGAAAAAATTCATAAAAATTAGTAAATGAAAATAAAACAAGTTAGGTGTGGTGTTTTATCGACATGTCTTCTCTAAAAGTTAATAAAGAGGAAACTTATTCAATGTAAAACAAGTAAAAAAATGTCGAGTAAAAGAATGGCTTAAGAAGAGCCTTTTTTATCATAACAACCTAATTCATAAATCCGAAAAATCTATAAAAAAATGTATACTTGCACACACTTCCTATTTCAAAACCAAACAAAAAATACAATCATTTGCTCAAAATATAAAAGGGATATTAACGATAACAAAATTAAAAGGAAAAGCAACCGTAGAAAAAAAAGCTTGGATACTCCAATTTTCTCATAAACTGCAATATATATTAAAAATATTTAAAAAAAAATTGACCGAAAGCTAACCTATATTACTAAGAAACTGAAGAGATAACCGAGTTTATAACTTGCTAATCAACCGCAATTCAACAAGCAAATTGCAACCAATGACGAAAATCAAAACTATTTGTCCTTACAGGAAACAAAGAGACCGCCTTTTTGATCACCGAATGGGCCCCCAGTTGTTACTCCTTATAATAAACTCCACAGCAAAGCTCTCGTAATGTTAAAAAAATTCATGCCTTCCTGATAAGACAATAACAGGCCCCATAGCCCATATCAAGTTTAAGTGTAAATCAAGATGTCTTTCAATATTAATGCAAGAACAGACGAACTCATTATAGGCATAGCGCTCTTGAAGCTTGCCTCATTTCATGTACATTTCAAGTTGCTCAATCCACCAAATTGTTTTTATGAATGTCGTTATAATGAGGAAGGTATTTTTCAATTGGTGTAGCCTGGTGGTGGCTAAGCACGTTGAGATTTGCCCCCTAATTTGGTTCATGGTTTATTAATGAGAAGAATAACATAATATAGAAGTTTTTGGTTTGCTGAATTCCAATGCGGTGAATTGAGATTGAAGTTTTTGGTTTCCTGTTCAATTCTTTTGTGGATTCAGTAGGTGCTTGAATCTGTTAATTGTTTCTAAGGTGAGCGAGTTTAGAATGTAAGAGTAGCCAAAGGGAGACTATGCTAGTATGCTCTGAACATTTCGTTATTCGGTTTAATTTGTGATGGTTGTTGAAAGATCTCACTTGTAGCCTTATGTTATAGTACGACATTGGTAGTGACTAGAGTTATACTACTAGTTGTTCGAGATGTTGAAAGATCTCTAGCATAGCAATTAGCCCTCCATGTTTTCCTGGGAGAACGTAGGTTTAATTTTGTTAGAGATGGTGAGTTGAAGTTCATACTTGTCATTTAGTCTGAAGAGTTGGTACGCAATTTGCATAATGCGTGCTAGTTTTTCCTCTACGGCGGATCTGCTTCTGTTTTGTTTCTATCATTTTAGTATTCTCTTCATATTGAGATATAGGTAAAGTCGACGTTTCTGGTTTCTCTGTTCAATTCTTTTGTGGATTCAGTTGGCGGCATTTTACCTACTTTGAGTGGTTAACAATTTTTATCGGATATTAATCAGTTAACGCTAACCATCAGTTATTAACCACCTATAACTTGGTAACCTGATAAGGAATTTTAAACCCTCGTTAAACGACCTGCATTCTTCTTAGCGATTAACAGTGTAACCATATATATATAATAACCATCGATTAGCGGTGCGATTAGCTATTAAACCTTTAGCGACATAACCATTTATCACCCCCAATATTCTTCGTTAAGATTAGTGACAAGATTAAAATAGACGGGGTCTAATTGATGAGTTGACAAATCCAAACTACTATCCTCCACAATCTAAGAGACAAACAAAGGATAAGGCCCATCAACTAGAAATTAAAGAAGCATCATCCAACATACAGATAACAGACCAATCTCGATCGGGCAAAGCAATAGTTAATGCCAGAACTCGTGCCATGCTTCCTTGAGCAAGATAAACACCTTTGCCGCCCGGTATAGCTCTGGAGTTTTGCCTCCTTTGATACTCACTTCAAGTTGATCCACGCACAAAACCGCTCTTCTGAACGCCACTTTGATCTCAGCAACTGTCTTCATGTCGTCCATTGAAACTGGCTCCCACTGCCACACAGCTGCTTCTGCTGGCCACACAGAAATCAGTGCATAAATCCAGATATAATCTGGAATACCACGATCAAACCAACGGAGCTAAACCTCTCAACATATTGAGGGGATCACACATGTTCGAACGTTGTAGCCAATAATTAAGTCGAAATCTTTCGGATAATCATATCAATTAAGAAACTCATTGTTATCGGACAATCCAAATACCGCATTAGTAATACAAGGGAAAGACCAATTAATACGATGAATTTTGGTGAGAATATCCAAAAAGTAAAACCACACGAAGCAGACAATACCATACTAATGGTGTAGCCCGTTATGACACTCACGTTTTGCAGAGCCGTTAGCAGAGCAAGTAGGTTGCCATGTTTCCCAGCGGCCCAACGCTCGACTTCATCGTCAATTGTCACGAGCATCGTCTGAATTACATGAATCGAGAGGAAACTTTGAAGAACCGAGAATCTAACAAGAGATATATATTGTAAGTATGTAACGCGAAATACTTACATAAAACTCGTCATTATCTCCCTCTGTTTCTAATTCATCGCGTACTACAATAGCAGAGGAAGAAGACAAGTCTGGGCGCCGCCACCTCTCGTTAACTTCCTTGACCGTCTTCACGTAGCTAAGGTGAACGGCTTTGTAATGTTCTACGCTGTCAATCATATGGCGTGCCATTCTCTTGGATTCGCGAATCCTTCTCCGCCAGCGATACTCATGGATTGCGGCTCTCCAAATACCGGCATTGCGAGGAGGGACAAGTGTGGTTGGTTCATCGAACGCCATGATTCGATCTGCCCTCTTCTTTTTAACCCACCAATCCTTCTTATTTATGCTCCCGTACGTGCTATTATTTTGATGTGTGCTATATATATAAGGAAGTTGTATAAACTATAGAGGAAGTAAGTTCTACTGTTTTGGAAGTGATTCTTGTCGGTTGTCTTGCTTACCCAAACAAGGAAAGAGAAGTCCCTAAAATCCTTTTTCCTTGTGCATGAATCTGAATTTATTTTTTTCTTTCTTCTTTTGATTAGCTGATCCTGCACTACTTTGACTTCTTGTGATTCAACTTTAATAAATACATAGGCGAGGCATTTAAAGGAAAGGAAAAGAAAAATGAAAATATGTAGTAATTGATGGGAAAAGGGCCCTAATTTGAGGGTCTTACCATGCAAATTAGTCAAATCCTTACCCTTATACCCAAGACGGTTTTATTTGTTTGTATTATCCAATTTTTTTTATTTAAAAATCTTTTCATTAACGAGAAATAGTACACGAATCAAAGAGGAATTGCGAAACAATAAATATAGGGGCGAAAGCCTTTTAGGGTGGTTTGGATTGAGTATTTGACAAACTTGTTATTTAGGGTCAATTAACACACAAATATCACATAATATAAAACTTGTTATTTGGTATGTGATATTTGATATTAAACATGTTATTTTGCAAATACCTACCCTCACAAGTATTGGCAAACAACACTTTTGTACTATGTGTTCACAAATTTGTTATTTGGCAGAACACCATATCCAAATAACACATCCCATTTTATGTCGGCCAAATAACACCACAAATACTCAATCCAAACGACCCATTAACTCTGCCACCACTACAATGTGGGCACTATAGCGTTAGTTGAAGGGTTTTCTCTCGTCTAATGAGAGTTTCGGAGTAAGGTGCGTCACCTTAGCTTTAGTGTTTATTGTAGGGTTTTCGTCCATTTATACGACCTTGACGAGTGGCGAGGTATTGAGTGGTGATCCGAGGCTCGGAAGGAAAATTGAAGTAGCAACGATTCGGCGAGAATGGAAGCAACTCACACCAGAGCTGGCAGAAGCCACGGTCATCCTTTTATGGTTTGGAAATGGCAAGAGAGCATGCCTCCCGCCGATAATCAGTGGCGGAGTCAGGATTTGAAACTACCCTTGTCCTCTTTTCGTATTATAAATATATAAATATTTAATAAATATAATTAAATTTATAATATATAAATCTAACGACTATTACAATCGGTATTTCCATAAACAACCATGACGAGTTTTCATCTTTTGAAAGAAACATGAAATACGTTCATTGTTTACACTCTTAAGTAAGTCTTTTTCAATGAATCTCACTAAACAACTATTAGCAAACTGGTCCTAATTCGACTTCGAAGTTCGTTCTTGATATAATTCAAAACTGAAAATATTCTATCTAAACTTGCCGTCATAACTAGTGGAATTGGCGCAGCCACTAGACTGCTTCAAAATTGATGGCAAATAATTGAATAAGCATATGAAGAAAATACATTGAGATTTCGTTTATAGTATAACAAATTAATTTAATATTAATTTATGATCAAGCAATGAGTTGTTTCATATAGTGACAAGATACGTTGTATTGGATGTTGTGTTCCATCCTTAGGATAAATAAACATATATGGAGTATTTTTGTTCCTCCCAAAATTTACCTCTGTCTTGGGACAATGCCCAATAGGGTTGCCTCCGCCCATGTTGACAATGGTGTAAGAGGATTTCCTCTGGAAGTAACGAAGTTGGAGAAGACGGATGATTCTCTTTGAAAGTGGGTTTGCTATGTGATGAGATATATATGTTGTGACTCGGGCGCAATCAATCTGGAGAAGGCAATTTCGACCTGACCCGTTTTATTCTATATGTTTGGCATGTTTTGGAGTAGGACGGGGCGGGCATGGGTACTCTCATCGACCGGACCTGTCTTGACCCGCCCCATTCTCGACATGTTCTTGTCTAAATTACATGTGATCTTAGTTAAATTACTTAGCATTTTCCCTTTATTACATCACATTTTAGCTATAACAAAGTTATAAATTAGTGAAAACCTCAATATTTTCAATAATTTAACTACATTTATCGTAATATGGTTTATTTTCTTGGTCTTGTAATGAAATTAACGAATATTTTTAATGTTTTCCATATAAATTGCATACCAATTGGGTTAACCTGCCTTGACCCGCCACCCATGCTACCCTACCTGCACTAACCTGTCACGGGAACGGGTATGAGTATCATGATACCCGCCCCAGACCTGCCCATTGTCATACTCATTCCTAAATCACTCAACTGAATAGGCTTTTGCGTGGGGCTATTGTGGCCCACACGACTTGTACGTGGGATGACCAGAATGTAGGAATGGTAATGGGGCAGGTCTGGGCCGGGTATCTCGATACCCATAATACCCGCCCCGTGGCAGGTCGGGTAATTTATCATGAGGCACGGGTCGGGGCAGGTTGACCTAATGAGTATGTAATTTATGTGAAAAATGTTAGAAATATTCATTATTTTCATTAGAAGACCAAGAAAGAAACCATAATATGATAAAATGTAGTTAAAGTATTGGAGAAATTGAGGTTTTCACTTATTTACAACTTCATTATAGATAAAATATGAGGTAATAAGAAGAAAATTCTAAGTAATTTAACTAAGATTACATGTAATTTAGGCAAGAACGGGTCGGCAGGTCGGGTCGACGAGAGGTACCCATACCCGCCTCACCCCGCTTACGGGGCGGGTCGGACCTGTCCTAAAACAGGTCAAACAGGTCGGGTAAAACGGATCAGGTCGAAATTGACATCCCTACTAGAAGGTTTGTTAGTAGCAAGTATTGTAGTTTGCGTTCGTGTTTTTATTAGTTGTGAAGCATGGGAAGTAATGGTACATTTTGTATTTTATTTCGTTTCTTGGCAATTTCATTATTATAATGATGATTTTATTTAAAATATTATAGATTTCATCTATTGGGTATGGGAATACAACATTTAAGCATGTAACTACTAAGCAGACTTGGCATCAATCCTCATCATCATCGAAAATGATAGCACGTGATCTTTTTTTGTTTGGCATCCGATTCAATAGAAGCTGGGTCTAATATCACGATGCGGATCTTTAAGGAACTTGCGGTGGTTCCCTTCCATGTTCAAATGTGGAGCCTTAAAGATGACTGCTGCACCAAACAATTTGGCAGAAAGATGCCTAATGATGCTCTGGGCAACGTCCTAGAAGCGGGTACATGTGTTTACCTTCACGGACACTGGCGAATTCGTCAAAGTTAGGGCCCTTATTGACCTTTCAAAACCGTTGTGCTCTCAAATACGGCAAACGATGAGACAGGGTGCTTTTGGGTGAACCTGAAGTATGAATACCTACCCACCTTTTGCTTTCACTGTTGACGTGTTGGACATATGAAGTGTGCGTGTTTTTTTTTTACCCTCCTACACGAAAAGAAAAATTCGGATCGCACATGTGCACGAAGAAGCTGGGGACGAGAATCTATGATGAGGAGGATGAGACCACAATGCATCGTGGAGCTTCAAAGTCGGTTTGGGTAAATAAAAATATTCGTGGAAATACCTACGAATACCCTCTGCTCAACTCCCGCTGTTAGGGATGGGTCGCGCCACCACGTAGTCCACCAAGAGATGGCGGCGGGGAAGCCCATGCATGCAATTGAAAGGCTGTCGCAACGTGGAAGCAGTCCCAGGGGTTTTTCCAATGCGGAAATCGCCCAAATTCCATCTAGGTCGTGGCCCACGCAAACCATCAATGCAAATGGAGAATGGGGCGCTTCCTAGGCCCGAGTCCCAAACCCCCTCTCATCAGCGGAGCAAGAAATTGGGACGGAAGGGCGATCGAGAGGAAGGCAGGGTGAATCGTGCTACTGGGGGTGTTCTAGCTGCTGCCTCCCAATTTGTGGGACAACACTATGAGAATGCTTGTGATGCAGGCAGACAGGGGGCACCAAAAAAGGCTAGGGATGCTTCGGTGGTGGTGTTGCCGAGACATGCTGACAGTGGCAAGAAGGTCGAGCAGGCGGGAATGTGCAAATCCTAGAGGCTGCTCGACGTAGACGGTTGATATTGGAGGAGGATTCGGATGATGATCTCCAGCCAGCTGCTCCTCCTAGGCCTCCCATGCTGTGTGAAGCTAAGGATGTCCATGCCCAGGGGAAAGGAAAGGCGACGGTGAGGAAGGCAGGTCGATTGCTGGAAAAAAATAATAGAAAAAGCAAGATGGGATTGAGTCCTCGGCGGCTTCTAAGCCTAGTCGTCGTGGTACCAGAGTTAGGCCAAAGCGTACGGGGTCGAAGAAAAATGACCAGGTTGCCTGCTTCCAAGAGCAAGTGCATGCTAGTGACCAGCCGCTTGATGGCCAGAATGATGGGTTGGAAGTGGATCCCCTCAAGGTGACCCCATTGACTATTGATGATGTGACACCTAATGGCCAGTTTGCGGCTACAGCTGACCTGATGGGGCATCCCCTTTCAGAGTCAGAAATGATGAATTCTGAGGAGGAAGAGCAAGTGTTTGAGCTTAAGAGGCGTGGCCCGAGTAAGCTTCGATCTGGTGCTTCTAGACCTGGCCATGGGAGAGTTGGGGAAGTGGTGGCGCCATTTGAATCTGGCTTGGTGCTGAATGCTGGAAACACTGGCACTAGTGAGTATAAGGGGTTCGGTCAGGCGAGTGGCCCTAGCTTTGACTCGTCGCAAGGCTCGAAAAGGATGATGATCTGGAAGTTGAATGAATATGGATCAAATATCCATGAGTCAGAATCTGGTGGGAAGAAACAATTTTTACAGGAGTTAGAGGGTGAGGTTGATGTTGGGCCCTCGCCAAAAAAGCAATTTATTGAGGAAGTGTCTATTGAAGAAAAGGTGAAGGAAGCCAGCCTCGAGTGGCCCCAAGGTGATAAATGAGGTTGATGGCCTGGAATGTGAGAGGAATTGGACCATCTCTCACATTCCAAACTGCTGTAGGGTTAGTTCGGTCGAATAAACCAGACCTTGTTTTCTTTTCAGAAACAAGATCGAGCTGGAGAGTAGTTACCCGTCGTATATGGGGGTTAGGTTTTGATCCTTCTAATTGTTTTTTTTTTTTGTTGATGCCATCGACACTTCTGGTGGTTTAGTTGTAGCTTGGTCCCCCGAAGTTGATGCTTCGGTGTTTTTTCAGTCGGATTTTGCCATATGTGTTCGGATTAATGAAAATGAAATTTCTTATGTGGTGGTGGTGGTGGTGGTGGTGGTTGTGGTGGTGTGTGTGTTTGTGTGTGTATTTGAGTTGCCATGATACTATCCGCACTTCCCAGTTGGATACCCTCCGCCAGCTGTGTGATGAGATCAATTTACCGTTTGTGCTCATAGGGGACTTTAATGTTACCCTAAATGAGAATGAAAAGGATGGCGGGAACCCTTGGAATGCTTCGAAAGCCCTTCCTCTAAGGACGTTGGTTCAGGATTTTGCCCTTCAGGATCCGGGATATCAGGGCGATCCTTTCACCTGGACTAATAAGAGGATGGGCGCTGCCTGCATCCGTGCTTGTTTGGATAGGGCCCTTTGTTCCTCTGATTGGATGGAAACCTTCCCTGAGACGCTTGTCAAGCATTTCACCGATCAGGGCTCGGATCATAGGGCTCTAGTCCTCTCCGACAAGCCATATGTACGGCAGAGCCGTCCTCTATTCCGGTTTGATGCCCGCAGGGCTGATAATCCGGAGGTGAGGGCTATGGTGAATTATGTTTGGCTGGAGGAGATACAAGGTTCCCCTATGTTCCAACTGTGGGAGCGGTTAAAGAAGCTTTGGCATTTACTCTATGACTTGAGTAGGGCGGGAACCACAAATTCGCTGAGAAATATTAAGACCCTCCAAGCTGAAATTGATCGGGTCAAACTATGTTCTCCAATTAATTGGGATGAGGTCCGATCCTTGGAGTCAGAACTGAGTCGATAGTGGGACGCCGAAGAGATTTATTAGCAGCAGAAATCAAGGGTCCGTTGGCTTAAGAAGGGTGACAAAAATTCCTCCCACTTTCATACGGGGACCAGGGCTCGTCGTAAACGTAACTTTGTTGTTGGTCTTCATAATGAGGAGGGGGAATGGATAACAGAGGAAGAGGGAAAGCTGAGATCACTTCAAATTTTTACCAACATCTCTTTACCTCGGGAAATCATGTTCCCAATATTGAAGCCAGAATTGCGACTCTGCCAATTGAGTGAAATGTATCTGCAGAAATGAATGATACCCTTACGGCGGACGTCCTCCCTAAGGCAATACGTAAAACAGTGTTCTCTATGGGGTCTAAACAGGCCCCAGGTTCTGATGATTTTACCGGGAAGTTCTTTAAATCTTTTTGGGATATTGTGGGTGTTTCTGTGGTTGATGCGGTTAGTTTGTTCTTTCGAACGGGCAGGTTACTCCGTAGTTTTAACCATACTTGGCTCACACTGATACCCAAAGTGGATAAAGTGCAAAATATGCGACAACTAAGGCCGATTAGCCTTTGCCAGTTCGTCTACAAAATTATTACGAAAATCATGGCACAGAGACTTTCCCGGCATTTGCCGCAGATCGTTTCTGAGGGCAAGAATGCTTTTATTCGGGAGCGCCACATTGTGGATAACATTCTGATTGGCCATGAGTTAATGCACTATCTTAAAATTAAAACGCAAGGGAAGAAAGGGTATATGGCTCTGAAGGTTGACATGGAAAAGGCATATGATAGAGTCGAATGACCGTTTCTCCTAGCGATTTTGAAGAAGTTAGGATTTAACTCAATTTGGTGTGACTGGGTCCATGAATGTCTTGTTTCGCCTCATTCTCGGTACTTATGAATGGATCCCCCTCAAGGTTCTTTGCTCCATCCCGAGGTCTCCGACAGGGCTACCCTCTGTCCCCGCTGCTATTTGCGTTATGTACCGAGGGCTTTGCGGCACTCCTTAGACAGGCTATCTCTGTGGGGAATTTGCAATGGGTTAAGGTAGCCCCGTGGGCGCCTCAGATCGCTCATTTGTTCTTTGCATATGATTCTTATTTGTTCCTCCATGGTTCTTTGCATGAATGTGAGAACTTGATTGAGGTTTTGAACGAATATGAGGAGCTCAGTGGGCAAAAAGTGAATCTTGAAAAATCAGCAGTCTGCTTTAGTAAGAATATCTCGCGGGAGGATCAGGACTTCCTCGCTGAAATCTTGGGTGTTGGAGCGGTGGGGGTCCAGGATAAGTATTTGGGGCTGCCCATGTTGATTGCTAGATCGAAGACTGCCATGTTTCGGTTCCTGGAGGAAAAATTGTTAAGTCGGCTTCAAGGATGGAATCAGAAAACCTTATCTTGGGCCGCGAAGGAAACCTTGATCAAGTCAGTAGCCCTGGCACTTGCGTTACATGTGATGTCTTGCTTCAAGCTCCCCATTTCCTTATGTCGTCTATTGGATAGACATGTGGCTCGGTTTTGGTGGGGTGATGAAGGTGGCCGGTCCAGGATAAGGTGGATTTCTTGGCGGAATATGTGCACTAGTAAACATGACGGGAGGATGGGGTTTCGGAGGTTTGAACACTTTAATCAGGCTTTGTTGGCCAAATCCTGAATGAGCCTCATACGCTGCTGGCCCAAGTTTATAAGGGGAAGTATTTCCCTCGAGGTGATTTCCTTTCGGCTCAGGCCCGTTCCCAGCCATCTTGGGTAGGGCTGCTAACCAGTAATCCGGTTAACGTGTTAACCGATAACCGTACCGGTAACCGTGGTTATCGGTTAACCCGTTAACCGAACTAAACGGTAATCGGATGGGTTTTTTGGGGGAACGGAGTACCGAGCTCGGACCGGTAAAATACCGTCGGCTGAACGGTATTCCGAAACTGATTTGGACTAAGCATCGCCATTCGCCAAACCCAGTTGCCGACTTGCCACAATCCATCAAAATTCAAAAGTCCATAGTCTCCGACTCTCCCAACAGAAGCCCTACCCTAAGCAATTAACCTACGACTATATTTGCAATTTTGCATCGGACTTTATTTCCCCTGCTGCCCTACCCTGCTGCCTGCTGCACAAGAACGACTGCACGATTGGTCGATTGCCGTCTGCTGATCACTCTTCCGTTCATCCAATCCGACAGTAGCTTAGTCGTCTCCGTCGCCGGCAACAAGCTTTCAAGCTCCATCCAAGCAACAGACATAAACACAGTCCAGCAGCTGTCATCCTCACCGCCAGACTCTGTTTCCGGCAAGCCCTTCCGCCAGGCTCTGTTTTCGGTAAGCCCTTCAGTCGTCGATCGAAACCGGTAGGCGGTAGCCTCTTCGTTGTCCTCGTCGGTGGCGCAAGCTCCGGCCAAGAGATACGACCCAGCAGCTCGCCCTTCGTCGTTGTCCCTGTTTGCGTCGAACCTCGTCGCCGTCTGAGGTTAATCACTCGATTGCACAGCCCAGCAGCTCGCCTTCTCCGACTCTCCGTCGATTTGAAAGGTAACTGGCGTAGCCGCGTAGCCGAGTACGTAGGATGCTACCATGGTCCATTCACCATTGATTTTCGCCATTACCATGGTCCATTCATTGATTTGTCATTTGTGGACTATCGTAGTCTCGACTCTCGACTCTCTTGTAGACTGTTGCCGTCTGCCGAGCAGAGAAGAGAAGAGAGAAGCATGTGATTTTCGGTTTTGGCAGAAGTAATATATTAAGAATTAGTTTGTTTTTAATTTGTAATTTTGTATTATTGTTCATTTTTGGCAGAAGGAAGAAGCAAATCGCAATATATAATAAAGTGAAAACAACTAAACAAGGGGTGGTACAGCCGATCACAACCACAAGGTCAAAGTCAAGGGGTGGTTTTTGGTTTTTTCTTACTTGAGAAACAAAGTGAAAAATGTAAGATAGTGGTTCAATGGTTTATGGTTGGGTGGTTTTTGTTTTTTGACATGTTTGCAATGGCATTTTAATGATTTTTACTTTTATTATATTTTACTTTTTGTTATAGGACAAAACCTTCTCGTCCTCGTAGAGGAGATGGTCCAAAAAAAAGTGGTTCAGTTCCTCCTCGAACTACTTCCAAAAAATTGGTTACTC